TCCCAAATATTGGTTATCTTTTAAATAATCATTTATTTGTATGCCTTAAATTTGATAAACCTTTTCATTTCTAAATTTTGGTACATTAGTAAAAATTTGATCAGCTCTAATGACATCAAATTCAAAAGCAATTTGAGGATCAATACATAATAGCTTAACTTTGTATACATTATGTGTCAAAAACAGAATTCTCTTACCACCAAATAATGCTTGCTATAAAGTTTTGCCCTGCGGCATCAAATTACATTTTTATTTTGCACTTGAATTCATATTATAACTTCTCTAAGAGCCTGAATCACATAATACTCTCCAGATATGTTTTATTATGAACAACAACATGTACATTGAGATTTTTCTTAGTATGAAACTGATTACTTGGCTGAAATTGAGAAAGTTTTAATTACTTCTGATTCATTTTCATTCTTTGATGTTTTATGGTTTACTTAGTTTTTAATTTTGGAACACATTATGGAGTAATGCTGACCTTTACAAATATGCATTTTATAAAAACTCAATATTTTGAGATCAGATGACTTGCTCTTAAACATTTAAAACAGGCATCTCTCTTCAGTATTTTATTATATTCATCAGTTGAAGAATCAGCAACTGCAGTACAGTCTTGTGAATCAAGTTTTTCTGTTGCAAAAAGTGCAAACTCTTTCTTTAATTTGAGAATTCTAAACAGAATAGAACTAAGAATTCTAGAATTCTTAGTTCTATTCTGTGTTGAAACTAAGGCAGCTGCTGCAGGAATATCTTTATATCTGTTGTTAATTTTCAAATTACATTTTGTTTCATCATTAAAAGAATGTTTTCTAAGTTTGAATCTTTCCTCACTTTCTACCATAAGTCTTAAAAAGTTAAGTAATTCTCTCATGCAGTCTGAATGATTTTATGCATAAATATTCTTAGAAATATGATACTCATCCTAAATTTTAAATATCATTTCTGGAAGTGCCAATTTCACTAAGGGGAATGTGTACTTGTGAATTCATACTTAAGGAGACTAATACTCTCAATTGGGCTTCTAAACCAAGGGTCAGCAATCTTGTAGCTGTGATTTGCCAAACAAATTTACCAATATGATTCAGGATGCCGCACACTAGGAAATATTTCAAAAACAATTTGATTCCCAGGGCAGTGCATGCAGAGTTGGGGAATAGAAGTCAATAATACAGATTTAGAGTTCCGTTATATATTAACTATGCATCATTTAAATATATTTATTAATAACATAAAATTACACAATGTAAAACATAAGTATTCCTTCAATGTAGTTAAATAAAAAAATTAAAATTATACGTATTGTGCATTATGTATCTTTTAAACATATTTATGAAAATAAACAACATAAAATATAAGTATTTCTTCAGTATAATTAAATAAAAAATAAAAAATTTTAATGTGAACCTTGTCTCTGCACTATTGTTCTTAATATGGCGATATCAGTGGTATCATTTGTTATTTTCAATTTGACACGTGATTCAGAATGTTCTGTAGTTAAACAATAACTTTGTGGACTCAAAATATTTTTCATATGAGAAAAGATTTGTTCACATAGATATGTAAAACCAAAAGCAGAAAGCAGAGCACATGCAGTTTTCTTCAAACAATTAAATATCTCTGGCAATTTAAAATAGCTGTCAATTTATCGTTATTCCCCCCTTTTTTTTAATTCCATTAATTTTGTTTTCCATAATTCTGAAAATGTTAGTTCAGCATGTTGCATTTGAAAATTATTAACTTCCATCCACTCAAAAATTGACAAATTGGACAGATCTGTTAAGTCTGATTTGATTAGGAAGGAAAATATAGGCATGCAAGCTTCAAAGTCTTTGCATCTTTTGGAAAATTTCTCCTTAAGTGCTTCAACATAGGTTCAAAGTTCATCTTTGTCTATAGTTAATGTAGACTGGTTATCATAAATTAAGAAAAAATCACGATTACTGAAAAAGTTACGTGTAGAATTTAATTAAACTTACCCACAATATACAACACGTAGTAAGGTATCAAATAACATAAAAAGAAATTACCTACAAATATGGTCGTATAGAAATTAGCACTGTATAAAATGAACAAATCGAAGGTGTCAGTTTGCTATAGGAAAAGTATCTTCAATATGGAATATGATCGCCTCTAGAAGTAATACAGCACATACAGCGATGTGTGATGCTTTCAATTATGAGTTCTATCAGTTCCATAGGAAGTGAGAGCCATTGCTCTTGCAAAGCAGTTGCAAGCACGACAAGGGTCTGAGGAGGCGGATTGAGAGCAGCTAGACGTCTCCCTAAAGCATCTCAAACGTGCTCGATAGGATTCAAGTCTGGGGATCCAGCTGGCTACTCCATGCACATAATTGTTTCTTGTTGAAGATAATCATCTACGATGCGAGCCCTGTGTGGTCTTGCGTTGTTGTCCTGTAACAGGAAAGCATCACCTATTGCCCCGGCATATGGGTGCACATAAACATCAAGGATGTCATCTCTATAAATCTGATTATTCACGTTCCCCTTGGAAAGACATGGAGGTCTGTGCGTCCACCCAAAGAGATGCCACTCCAAGCACAGACACTGCCATTTCCGTATGCATCTCTTTCACGGATGTTTGACAGATGGTGATGGGTTCTAGGTTCTCTCCATATCAAATAACGCCTACTATCGCTTTCTAGACTAAACCTGGACTCATCCGTAAAGAGAACCGCTCTCCATTGATCAGGCATCCAGTGGACATGTCGTGCCCACTGAAACGGGTCCCTCCTATGGCTGACGTGAGCGAAAAAATGGTGGCGCCTCGCATATACACCACCTTCGTAAAGCCTTCTATGCACAGTTGACGTTGACACAAACCTTACGGTGGCTGCAGCAAGGGAGGATCTAAGAAGAGTCGGAGTAGCGGTTCTACGATGTTCTATTCCTGCGTGCAGATAATGTCAAATGTCGGTCATCGGCGCTTGTTGTAGCAGTTGGCCGTCCTTGGCTGAACCTCCTAGATGCCGAATCTGTGGTTTGAAATTGCCTCCAAAGTCTATGAACCACAGAAGGACTCACATTTAGCCATCTGGCCACTTCTGTTTGACTTTGTTCTGCCTCTAGTCTCCCAATGGCTCTCCATTGCAGTTCTGCAGGCAAATGATGCCTGGAGGTCATTGTTATGAATTGGCTATCTCAGATTTCTGATGTCGCTGTCACAGTGAAATATGTGGGCTTGCTCTCAAACATGGACTTTTAAGCTCCTCGCAGATGATGTATTCCGAAAGTAGCGCCACTAATTTGCATATTGCAGTTTTACTCAGCTACTCCTACTTGGCAACATATTCAAATTTTACATGGTTTGGCTTATTTTTGAGGGAGTTATCGCTATTTTTGTGATTTTTCCTTAATTTATGATAACTTTAACATTTGGGAGGTATTTGTAGGTACTAGTATTAATAACACAGGAAAATATATTTAACTTTGTTTCAATTCCAGTCTTTCCAGTATTAAAAAAGTTCAAGGATTGTTTAAGCTTTTTTTTTTTTTTTTTTCCCCAATCCTAAATTTAGTTCATTGAGATGTTAAGTTATATTAATCAGAAACATTTGCATAACCGTTCTTTATGGTTCAGTTTGAGGAAATGTTCTTCCTTCTCAGTAAGAAAAACTTTCATGCATGATACAAGTTCCATGCATGAAGCATAGAAAATCTCCATGCATGATACAAGCTTACTGTACTGAAGAAGAATGAGACACTGTTAAATTAACTATTTTGACAACAGTGTTCATTACAGAAATTAAGCACTGCAATAAAATTCTGGCAACTAAACTTTCCTGAGATTTATTATGCAATGGAAGTTCAATATTTTATATCCAATATGCTTTTCAAGAAGTTTGACAAATCCTCTTTCCTTGCTAACCATTGCAGGGGTACCATCAGTAGTTACACAAAATATTTTATTTATAAATAATTTTCAAATGAAGAAAGACTGTCCTGTCCCTTAATTATCCCAGGTAGGGGAATCAAGCGGCATAATTCTTCACAAACTCGATCTTTATCACAATATTGTGCAATTACTGCAAAGCACGCAACATCATTCACATCAGTACTTTCATCAAGAGCAACGCTAAATGGAACAGTTTCGTCTGATCCAGAATCTGCTTTTTGCTACATTTTCTGCCATTTGAGTTATTCATCTTTCAGTAGTTTGAGAAAAGCCAGTATTTCTTGAATTTGGGATAATTATATATTTGGTAAATCGCTGGACAATATTTTAGCACTTTACACAAATGAGAAACTTAAAACATTTTCACATTTATGTAAAGACTGAACTTGTCCTCTAATTTTTTAAAGTTTAAAAGGATACTCATCTCTTAATTAGTTAGTCTTTAATTTTGGCTTCTGTTACATTTTCTTTGATATATCTTGTCATTCATAGACTTGAGATTTTCAAATTCTACAGTAAAAGCTTTAAAAACATACCAAAATTTCATTTCGATCTTTAATTTCACTATTTGACTGATCAGTAAGTATATTATATTTTCAGATAAAAGCCAATCTTAATGTGCATTTCAAATAAAAAAATGAAACTAAAACCATAGTTGAAATTAAGAATTACTTTTATTTAGAAGTCTGTTTGGGCACCGAAATGGCCTTAAAGTAATAAAATTCCATTTCGCTGCTTTTAAATATTATGGTAGACTAAAAAGAAAATATGAAACTTAGCTAGAACAAACTCATGTCTTTATCTAGCATTTTGAGCTCAATTGCTCGAATATTCCAAGTAAACAGTATTTTCATTGCCATTCAAAATTTACCATAAACTTAAAGCAACACAGTAGTATTCATTTTTAATAGAACCATATCCAAATGTGAGTTTATTTAGAAAGTTAAAAATATTCTACAATGTACTTTAATTATTTGCATTTTTTTATATTTCTGTATTATATGTGTTATTGATGAATCCATAAATCTCTTTTATTGTAAATTGCCTGTTACTACAAAATAATTAACATTATAAATAACTATCTATGTAGGTTTCTTCTTTGTGCATATACATCTGGATTAGCAACTGCTGCTCCTAAAGATAAAGGAAATTTGGTGAGTAAATTTAATACTTCATTTACTTTATGAAAAGTTATATATATATTAAAAAAAAAAAAGAAATATCTAGGTTTAAATTGTAAATTTTTAAGAAGCTAAAATGCCAAGAATCAAGTTAGGAAATAGAAGTATTGTGTGAAACTTCTGTTCAGCTTTCAACTAATGAATAATTTTGTAATGGTAATGTGTAACGATCATGCCTAGTTCCATCTGTGTGAAACTCTTAATTATTGTAAATAAGCTTAAAATATTTGAGTTAATTTGTCTTTAATATGAGACTGGTGTTTATTGATGTTTGATGCTAGTGTTAGTGATGTGTGCCTGGTTTTAGAGCCATGAAGAGTGATGTTGTCAAGTCCAATTTCATGCAGTCAGGGATATCCAGTACTGGAGATAGAAATAGTGAGCAGCTTTCAATTCTTGAAAAAGGCATGTTTACTTTTGCTAAAACCATTTGAATGGTGCTTAAAATCCATTTTGGAAAAGGTAATCAAATTCTATGAGCATGTTTGCAGAATAGCATAACAGTAGTCCAATAATGTCCAACAAACAGAAATCCAGAGGTTGGCAGATGGTTTTGCTGCTAGGCTACTTTTTATGATGTAAGGTTGTGAAAGTGAGATAAGAGGTCAAAATAAAACCTTTTAGTGCAAAACAGTCTATGGTATACTAATGAGTATCTGGGCTAATGCTGGATAATCCAAATTACCAGTTTTAATACATATTATATGTGTTTATTATTTTTTTAATCCCTTTGTCTTTGAGAATGTTTTAAACATTTGTCGAATTTCACTATGTATTTTTCAAAGTGCTGTTTTATTGTTATATTTGAATCCCTTGTGGTCGGATAAAGTCCAGTAGAGTTTCAGGAGAAGTCATTGCTGTCTCGGGACTAATGTAATTGTCAGTATCATCTTAGCATATATTTTCAGTTTCACTACTTGCCTCTTCTCTTGTGTCATTTGAAACAATATCCGACTCGAGTACCGAAAGACCGGCTCAGTTGAATTGCCATTGAACCATTCCACAATATATTGCCCAGTCGTCATTTTCAATTTTTTGGCATTCAACTTCAGTTATTGCCTCAATTCTTCACAATGAGATAAATCTCCGAATTCTATAGGAGGAAGTCTTTTTCATGGCTGATATTGTGCATGTTTTTTTATACACTCTTGCTCATACCGTTGAGTGTGGGTGCATGAGCATTGCTACACAATAATAATCTGCAAACCATATAGTCTAAGCCCAGGTAATTAAGAGTACACTGCATGTAAATATAGGAATACTTCTATCTGTAAAATTCTGGAGCAATCATTGTAAAATAAACATAATTGGATAGAGTGCTTTTAATACTGTAGATGATTCGAGGAGCAAATCTGCAATATTATTATCCACTGTAACATTACACCAGAGGAGGAGATAAGACCTAGACTTAGTTGCCCTTACACGAGTTACACTCCAACTCCATATTTGATCTAGAAAAATATTATGTAGGGATTACACAGCCCGAGATAGACTAGACAATCCCTTTTAAGCCTGAATGGATAAACAAAGAAATGGTGGTTCTAGTCTTGCAGAAGCAGCTGATCTCTCCCATGATGCCCACTCCGAACATATATGTATGTTACAAGTGACCAGCTCGGGAAGGGGGAATTGGGCTTGATTAGTCATACAAGCAGGACAGCCACTCGTGCATTGCCGCCCCTCTATTACATTGAGGGAAGATGCAAGGAGGGGGTTATCCACTGTATTTAAACTTTTGTGGAAAAAGAAATTCAGGAGCATATTACTGTTTGCATGCCATAGTTAAAATAATGCTGATTTCTGTGTTTATATGACTGACAGACTTCCAGGCTAGTAGCTCTCCCATATAGTTTCTAAACACATAATTATTTTTTTAATCTTAACAATAATCTTGTACTTTTATATTTAAATATAAAGATACATAAATATACATTTTATAATATTTAGATTGCATAGGATGCTGTGCAGTCAAAATGTTCCAACTCTGCAATAACATATTAATTTGTGCTGAGTTATTGTCTTTCAAAACTAGGCAAAATTTAATATTTATTAGACATGCAGAGAAATGCTATAGACATTTGGAGAAAGTCTGACTCAAGCTTAGGAGCAGATTTGCTTTTTAAAATTTCTCTTAAATCAGTGTTTTTTATATAACAAAATCTCCACAACCATTTTAGCAGTTCAAATAAATGGCATTGCAATGCTAATATTGTTGAGTTGGATTTGAAATGCCAGTTAAAGAAAGTGCTTACAATTTTTATTTTATATAATTTTTCGCAATAAATTTTGCAGTTCAAGTTATGTTACAATTATTACAGCTGTTATAAATGATTCAAGTTCTTACCAATCTTTATATATCTTTTCAGGAACTTAAATTGTATACTGTAGAAGCTATTATAATGAGAAATTACATTTCCAAAGTCTTTGTAAGTTGCCAAGACAAAATAGATTTATTGACTCCAGCTCAAGGTCAGTCTCTTCTGTTGATGGCTGATTATCTTTTCAAAGAATTTCAGATGCCAGTGGAGAGCTTATATTCTGCTCTGGGATGTGAAACACCTGTGGATGCAGAATCTTTACCAGCTAGAGAAATATGTCGTATTTGTAAAAGTGAAGTAAAGCTGGACAATATAAAAGTAGGTCAGTGTGCAAAAAATCATATGTTTGCTAGATGTTGCCAATCTTTATTACTTTGCGATATCATTCCTTATTTTCAGTGTGCATCTTGTAAGAGTGTAGCTTTACAGGATGTATGGAGTTTTGGTTTAGCTTGCACTTACTGCGGCATGCCTATGACTTGAGATACCACAGTAATTATTTATATCATAGTGTATATATCATTCATAATTAATTATATTGTTACTCATTTATTGTATATAATGCATTAAAATGTTTGAAACACAACCTGTTATTTTTTAAAAAGTAAAATAGCAATCAAGTTGATTAGTTAAAAAGGGCAAAGTTTAAGAGGTGTATTTACAATAAAAGCATTTCATTGAAGGCCAAGAGAAGTTTTCTTTTTGATTTAGATGAAGAATTCAAAGATCGTATCTAGAATTATTTTTATGCCTTCAAAATAGTACTAATAATAATGACATTAGTTCTGAAGTTGAATTTTAGATAATTAAATCAGAAAACCAGCACAAGGATCTATGCTGAAAAGTAGAATCTATAATCAGAATGCAGAAATTATGGTAAATAAAGCTGAATTGTCTAAAAAAGGGATCAAGAATTCCATTATAAAAGAAATGCTACATTATGATATGATGAAGTATGGTTTGAAAAACAAAATAACTGCAGTCATAAGTTGCAATACAGGAAATACTAGGAAAGAGAAAAAATTAAATGGGGGTAGAGGTGATACATACCCATTACTAACAGTAAAAATGCTTCTTATATTTGAAAATCAACTTGTACATTGATGCCAAAAGAAAATCAGAATATTTTAACTATTAGATAGAATGTATAAAAATATGAATATTTGATAAACTGTTAAAGAGTTATTGTAAGACATTTTATTACTGTGCAGTCTGTATTCATTCCAGATGCAGAAAAGAAAGATTACATTAAAAAAATATTATATGCATCTTTATCACCTCTTATTTGTATAGCAGTATGTCATTTCGATCAAAATAAAGTTTCATTTATTGAATAGTCTCTTTCCAAGAGAACCTAAATAATTGATGAAATTATAGGTGATAAAAATGCTGGTACCCTTATGCCAATCTGGCATTTCTCCAAGTTACAAACATCCTTAGGCGAAGTCCTAGTTTTTCATAAAGGTGCCAAAGATTTATATCATCCTCTCCTTAATTAATTAATAGCAAATTTGGATTTACCTAAGGATGTATGCACTGTTATGAAGGTTACTTTTTTCCGAGCTAGAATCTGATCTTCAATTCATGCACACTGCCATTTGGTTTTGTTTCTTTGAACAGCGCCCAGCTTGGATAAGGGTGTAACATCCTGTACCAATGAATTAAATGGTAAGTAAAATAAGTATTCATTAGCTATTGTGATAATGTGTTTAAACACAGCTGTTGTGTTTCACTTTCTCAACATTGTCTGTTTTGCAGTGCAAAGCATGTAACATCTTATACAATTATTGTATAGAATCTGCAGTGAATTTGCAATGCAGCTTATATTTTCAAAGATATTCAATTTCTGAATGATGCAACTAGCAAGAACAGCTTGAATAATGCAACATTGATTGTACCATGGAATGTTTAACATTATGTAATATCTGCACTTCAAAAATATGGCTCCATTTACTCTAGAAAAACAAAGGCCACCTAAGTATTTTATTCTAAATCTTAAGAGAAATGAAAAAGTAGTATTAGAATTTTGTATTGTATAAACTAAAATGGCTTATTTCTGAAATGTATGTGAAAAGAAGGGAAACAACACTTTTTAACAGTTTCTTTTTATTTACAACAAATCCTTTTTTGCAAAAGTATTGAAGTTGAAATCAAAAGTTAATCCATAAAAAACCATACTATATGTGAAATACAATTTCAGAAAACTGAATGCAGGATATACAGTATTATCCAACAGTGATATTTATATTTGTACTCTCCAGCTCTACATAAAAAAAAAGTAATATAATATAAAACAAAAATCTTTCATGCAACTTGTTACAGCAAAACATATACACAAATACTCAAACTTGATTTTGCTTTGAAAAGAGACACATACAAGCATTCCATTGAATGAGACATACAAAAAATCTCTCTTCATTTCAAATGCTCTGATTGTAATAATTGTTTTGTATTCATACCTTAACTAAGTATACCATCATCTATTACAAATACATAAAAATTATGTCTTCTTATCACTAATACATGGAATTAAATGAAATAATTATTAAGGAAAAATATCCATAGATAAGAAAATCTTTCACAGAGACCAACCAAAACCAACATGTACAAGTGCATGAGAAATTTTCTCTAGCTAAACAATTAGCACAACAGTTTCTGCAAAAGTAGTATGCATTATGTTATTACATGCTAGGGGATGGGAATTATATTTATTGTCATCTAGTAGTACAGAGGCATTCAATATAGCCATCAAAAAATTTAAAATATAAATCTGAATGAAATCAGAATCACTGTGTTACATTCAAGAGATAAAAATTTGTACTTTGATCTTTAGATAATTTGAATTATTTAAACATTTCTAACACAAGAACAAAGATACACAAACAAACGTAAAATAAAATATCACAATAAGCATTATAAGAATATTTTTAGTCCCAGGGAAGAAATGTTAAATTTATCAGCTACATTCATTTGTAGCTAACAAAGTTAATTGTTAAGACACTTCCGATAAGAGGAATAGGATAGTATAAGAACCAATTAAAAATATGGTGAAATATATCTTAAATTTTTCACTTCAAATTAATACTGCATTTAATAGGCAAAAAATACTATTTCACACACATATAGTTTATTTGAAATATAAATTATGAAATAATATTTTACTAAGGGTTTTATTTTACCATTTTTAATTGTGTTTTATACTAATAAGTCCTAAAATAAATAATTACATGAACTTTCTTACTAAATTATATGGTTTAAAGACCTACTTAAAAAGGTTAAATGTGATTTTAGGGTCCATTTTACTAATATTTTGGGACTAAATTAAATATTTTAATGTGCAAAATTTTAAAAAGCTATATTTTAAATATGTGACTTTATCACTATCAAGAATTTACTAAATACTTTAGGTATAATTGAGAAAGGAGGCATAACACCAGGAAATTCCATTCTTGTATACATTACATTTATCAAAAGCAGTTAGTTGCATGCTTGCAAAAACCATTGTATATAGGTTCAACTTACAAATACAAATCAAACATTCTGCATTATTTTAGAGTGAAAAGTTTCCAAAACAAACACTCTTTAACATTCTTTGTTCCAAGTGCACATACACACAAAATTCCTTTTTTTCTATGATAATGATGAGGTTGCATTATTTATGCATTCCATTTTGCAACATTCATTGCTTTCTAGATTATGGAATAAATGAGCATCACTTTTATAATGGATAAAAATGTAATATATGCACAAATTTTGCAGAAGAAAATTATTATAAATAGGAGTAAGAATTTATTCTGCACTTAGTATTTTTCTGGGAAGGGGTTAACTATATAAAAATTTCATTTACAAGATTGTAACTATGGTGATTCTTTTGTCAAAAATAATGCAACATATTTAACTAATATTTTGGAAAACACAACTTGAGTTAGATGTTTATTATAATTAATTTTGATCATTAAAAAAGGCTACTGCTCATTTTTTCCAAAATAAAAATTTTATTACCTTTTTAAAAAATAAATAATTTTAATTAAAGACAGTGCAATCACTGACTTTTGGGTTATTTGTTTCACTGTCAATTAAAATATTAGTAAAAACAAGTTTTTATTAATAATGGATAGAGTGATAATTTCTGTATTTACTGCAATACTGTTTGATATTAAGTGATTTTGTACTACAGTAATATGTCTTAACTGAAGTTTAATTAATTCACAGAATGAAATTATACTAATAATTAAGAGACAACCATACAGTTAAATCAGCTTTTTCTTTTTAACTAGATTTATATTGTTATTCATAATTAAAAATTTCACAGTGGTTAAATATATATGTGACAACGCTAAATTCTGAAAATATACAATATTGTACTGCAGAAGCAGTTGGTTGAATGAATGCTGTTGGAATGTTAAAATAATGAAATCTCAGTGACATGAAAAGAGATGATTCTACGAAGGAGGCACAGGCTAAGTCCCTGGGTACTGACAATTGCCAGTTCTGTGCGTTGATGATTGGAAGCTGTGGCTGGGGGACCATTTAATAAGACCCCTTTTGTACTTCCAGTACAACTCTCGTGGACTGGAATACAGAATAGCAAGTAAACAAACTATTTACACATTGAACTTGTAGCCCTCTTCAGTTAACTGAGAATAATAGTAATAATATAATAATTATGAATTGGCAGGCATTCAGTTCAAATTATGCACTTTTTTCAAAAGCCTGAAAATAAACCATCAGTTTGCGGAGAAAATCTCAGAATGTAAATTTCATACCCTATACATAAAGGATATGAAAAAAGCAATAACTAGCTTTTTAAGTGATGGGAAAATGTAGCAATTAAAAAGCACTGCAAAGCAGTATTTAATAAGTGTAAAATATTTATTTCAACCCAAAAAAAGTTTACAGTTCTAAAATAATTTCAATTACAAATATTGCTGTTTTAAATCAAGTATGCCCTTTACTGCATATATATATAAAAACTGAAATACAATAAAGCTTGATTTCCTGTCTTTCCATAAAAATGCTATGAAAGAACGAAAGCAGCAAAAATCTTAGTTTATAAATGAAATTTTAACAGTGAAAATTTTTATACAGTTTTATAACATACAATGAAAATAATTATGTAATATTCAAGTAATTATTTCATGTAACAGATAATTTACGAAATTTACTTTATAGCATGACTAGCCACATAGAAATCATAAACTGATGTCTCAGATTTTAAATTAGTTGCCGTAATCATAACAAGAAGATTAGGGTTTTTGAAAGGTGTATATGTGTGTCTGTGGGCTTATTAATTATGTGAATTTATAAGTATAAATATAAATTTTCTCTTATTGTGATATGAGTTCTATTTTAGCTTAGCTTTAAATTCTTATCCACAGCTCTAGCTCCAAATAACATTATTTTAGTAACTTCAAACAAGTAGAAAATTGTTTTAAATATGCAGATTTGCATAATTCTGAAAATAAAATTCATTTTGTTCTGTGGCTTACCTAATCAAACTGATAGAAACTATAAATTCAAGTTGCTTAAGAAAAAATATATGCATTAAAAAAAGCTTGAATGAAGGCTGTTTGAATAAGCTGCTTGAATGAAGGCAAATTTTATTTCATTGTATCTTATTTAATGCAGTATTTCAAAAGTATCAAATATTCTAAATAGAAAGAAAAGAATCAGAAACATTATGTGATATCAAAAATCCACTCAGCAATATTTGTGAAAGAATATTAGAATAAGCTCCCATTAAAAATAAGAAAGATTGAAAAAGTACACATATTATAATGCAATCAATCAAACAAGCGAGCAGAAATATCATTCACACTAAAGGCATCTTGGCACCTTGAGATCAAATCACCGTGCTATATTCCTTTTAGTAGTTAAGAGGCACTCAATTTGCACAGGGTTATAAGTTCTGTTAGTTGTTAGAACTATAACTCATTGTCTATGAGAAATTGAGAAATCCATTTGCGCAGTGAAAAAATGGAAAATAAGTGAAAAGTTAGTCAGGTACCTTCATCAGACTACCATTTATATTTTCAGTCTTATTTTTCAAGCCAGTTTGCTTTTTTGATAATCAAGATGCACTACCATTTGCTGAGACTGAATTAGATTTCATGAGACCATTCTAAAATGAAATTTAATCCATGATAATTCAGCTTCGATTAAAAGTGATACACAGAACCTACTTAATTAGGTTATGTTAAAAGAATGGTTACTTATATCTATTGAAAATACTGAAACTTGAAATATTAGTCAAGAAATTAAGCTATCAATCAAGAGCTCTTCTTATTTTCATGTGCTCTTTTATTATTCTTATCACTTTATGAAATCATTCACTTTAGTGCAGAAATTAAATGCAGCTGTATAGAATTTAATCAGTCAGAAAATATTACAGAAACTGAAAATAAATTCTATCTGAACAGAATATTTCAGAATTTTACATGTGAAACATGTTTTTTATTTTTATTTTTAAATAAGTCTTATGAATTTTAACTAGTATTAAACATTCATTTAATTCAAGCAAGGAATGAAGTCATTCAGGTATATTTATAATATTTGCAGTTGTACAAATAGATCATAATTTCACTGACAAGCTTAAAGATAACATCTGCTAGTTTCAGTCTTCTGTTTATTTGAATACATTTGATTCGGTCAATCAAGCCACATTTATACATATACAAAAACATAAAAAATGAAATGTGTACAGCATATTTTTATTCTCATTATATGCAAGTTCTTCCTTTCTTTTTTTAATGTAATTGAACATCTATTATATGCCACTATTACTAAATAAAGTGATCATCAGATACAGCTACTCACAACAGAAATTCTCGCTATTTTGCAGATTTACTTTATCATTTGAATAACTGTATTCTTGTAAAATAAATTCAGGAATAATATTAAGATATCAAATTCTTAAATGAGAAAAATTCTGTTCATGACATTCAATCACCACATCACTTCAAATTAATTACAGATTTATATTTCAGCACATACAATGTTTATATGTTATACCAAACTGAAATGGAAACTATAACTTTCTCAGTAAATAGTAGAACAAAATAAGTCTCCTCTAAATTGAACAGGTTCATGATGATTAAATATATTCCTGTTTAAATTATTTTAGCATTTACAGGAGACTGATGTTAAATACTGATGAAACATTTGTTTACTGTAGATGAATAATTCAGTACATAAAAGAGCTAAATGAAATACAAAAATTCAGAACAATGTTTTGTGGATTTGACTTGAGTATTAATTGAATAAAATTTATAGATATTGAGATATCTAAATTCTCAAATACTAAAAATTTTTGTATTTAACATTTTTAATTATAAAACAACTGCTGAAAGTATCTAAAAATTAATTCTCAACTTAAGATGATTGATTTCTTGTTTGAAAACAATCACACAAAAAATTATACATTTAAAATGTTGTATGGGATATAAGTTCGCATGAGCATTTCTGATGTGAGACCAACAGAATGAGCAATGCCATTTGATCACATTTAACTATCTATTTAAAATGATGGAGTCAAATATGTGAAGATCTACATCAACTGTCATCTTTGGTTTATACATTTAGTTTTCAGTAATCTGATTTGTGCTGTTTAATAGGTGCTACTTCTGTGAAATTTAATCTGTTTCACATTTTGTACAAAAAAATAGATGTTAATATAGTAAGTTCTTATATATTCATTTAAAGTACCAGAAGCATTAAAAAAGTAGTGTTTCATTGTCATGGCCATCATATATGAAGCTTGAATTATTTCTTAAAGAAAATGTGACTGTTCATTCAGACCAAAAAATAATCATTCATATACATAAGCATTTTACTACATACAATAGCATCAAATAAATAAAATAAAAAAAAAAAATTTTTTTTTCACTATTATTAAATTACAGAACAAAATATATTAAAACTGCTCAAAGATATAAGTAATTCATAAAAATTACAGAAATGTTTTCATAACCATTTTTTCATCCCTTTAAAATGCATTTGTCTCTGATAAATTTAATTCTATACAATAGAATGGTTCTTATAGAATTAATCATTTAATAAAACTTCAAAAATATAACCATGTTCAATTTTATATAAATATATAAACACCCAGCTTGTGTTTTTAAGTTATTTGCAATCATTTTTTATGCACCGCAATTAATATATTTTCATTAAACAACCAAGTTAGAAACATAATAGAAAAGATGGAAAAATAAAAGTAGTGGCCAAGTAAAAATACGTATTTTTTTATTTCCTAGGAGAATATAACAATTCATGTAAAGAATGTTTACAGACATGTGAAACAAATACATTCTGTACTGAATTAAGAAAACATTCCATAGTTTTTAAAGAATATAAACCAGGCAAGAAATTTAAATTCATACTGTTGGAGTAATTTAATTATTAAAAATAATATATGATAGACTGCAACCCATGTTGAGAAATATAGTTTCTCAAAAAAATCAAAATCATCACTAAAATTTAAATGATAAATGCAGTATGCAAAGTTGGAAATTCTAAAACAGGATTTCTCAAATGCTGGCCTGAATTTTTCACCTTTACTTTAACTCCATTACTAAAGCTAAATAATGAAAAATTTAATAAAATGTTTATAATTATATTGTCACCTTTGTTTCGATGCAAAATTTCTACAAAGAAAGTATTAACAAGACATTATATTAGTTTTCAAGGAAAAGGAATCTTTGATTAATCTTAATTCAAGAAAGAAGTTTAGAACAATGTTACTTTGAAATAGAAATTTTGGGAATTGTGAAAGAATGGGCAAAACAAAATTGAATTAATTTTAAAAATAAATAATTTCAATTCATCACATGCATATTTTAAAATGTCCTAATTATGCATACATTTACAAATGATATTTGTGAATCCCAGAAGAAACAGGATATAAACCTGGTCATTATTCTGATTCTCTCATTCATTCAGAATTCTTACTTATGCATTCATTTATGATATAAATTTGTCCTGTTGACAAGAAGAATATTTAAAAATACATTCCTACATATATTTCATTTTTCTAAAATTTATGACTATTAAAATAAAATCCACAAAATACATATCAAGATAACTCATCATGTGGCACATGTTGTGTCATCAAATTTAAAATTTCTGCCCCAGATTATTATGTAACAAAATTGTAAAAAATTTTGCGATGTTTCTTTTTGGATGCTCATTATGTTTTAGAACATCCCATCTTTAATTTATGAAAACCATTTCTTAATTCACTAATTAAAGTAAAATTAAAAGTAGTTTTCTGAACCATACTGTCTTTTAAAATGAATTGGAAATAAATGAAAAATTCAAATTAAATCATAGTTTTCTTGTTATGCTGACAGTTAAATGATTTTACACAATTTAAATTTCTTATTTACTGATATCAATTATTTTTAATTCAGTAACTGCAGTTTTAATTTTGCTGTTATAATGTTTGATCATGAGTGGGTGCAAAACAATATCTTTTTTATCTGTTTCTACATGCATAAAAATTTTCTCCTTTTATCAATTTTCTTTCTGATACATATTTAATATTTTCATTAAATATAGCATTCTGACAGTGTTTTTTTTTGGGGGGGGGTTACAGAGATGACATATCAACATAGACATACATGTAGAAAGCACAGATATAAGTTGAAAATAACCAAAATAAAATTATAAGAACCTTCAAAAAGAAGGTTCATATTCAATATGAACAAAGTGAATGGTGAAAAATTAACTTTATGTTTAATATTATTTATAAAGACATTAAATTTTCTAATTAGATTTGCTTTCTCTTAAGGGGTGTTTATTTTATTTTTAAAGTTTTCCTTAAATATTTGGAAGAAATATTTATTAACCCTTACTCCATACATTAAATTATGTATGACAGCTAAAAAACACTGCTGTTATCTTATCAAGAAAAAGTAATACAAATTTTATTATGTTATTCAAGTTAATGTTAGTTGCTTCTCATTTTTCTAGTTTAATGAACGTAGTCACTATAGAAAGTTCAACAGAACAGGAAGAAAAAGCACTAGAACTGTTATTGGAAGTTACTAATATAATCAAAATTTTTAATTATATTTCAATTTTATAAAAAGAAATATTTTTGAAACAACAGTAATATGTTAATACATCATTGATAAAAATATCCCATCTTTTTAATTTAAAAAAAGATTTTACGGGTATTTACCTACCTTCAACTGATATTTCAGATCACCCTGATGCATTACTACACACAGGAAGTACAAACTATCTCCATTTTCATAATATGATTTATCATACTTAGTTAAAGATGGTAAATTACTTTAAGATTAAAATTCATTCATCAAAATGGAATTACTTTACATAATATATTATAATTTATTTTCTCAATTTTGATGCACTGCGATAGACTGAAGATTCAGACAGTATGGAGTCTTCGGAAGAAAAAGAAAATATTGTTCAGGTCATTTCTAAAATTAATTTTAAAACAACATGTTTTAAATAAAAACGGAGATCTAGTAAAAAATTATGGATTCAAATAATCTTATGCAAACTAGGCTACACTCAATTGTGAAGTCAAGAATTTTAAGTAGTAATTTTTGGCATTACAAAAATTAGACTAAGATAAAAAAATATATTATCAGACAGACAATTCTTTTAAACTTATTTTGTGTAACAAACCACCAATGAATCTCTTTATTAATCTTTTAACCAAGCCATTTTAATAATAATATTGCATGCGAATAATTACTTCTTTAATCTGCATTTTAGCAATTTATAATGTAACATGGAGAAAATAGGATGAACCTTCAAATATTTAATACTGCATTTTACTCTTTTTTGTTCTGATTTTTTAGAAATTGATTTATATATATATATATTGCTAAATAACCAATTTTTACTTTCAAAGATTAAACTAAGATGATAAAAATTAAAAATATGCCAGCTTAAAGTAATTAACATAACATATACAAATATATGTATATGCACAAAAAAAAGAGAATATTTATAATATTAGAGAGAAATATACATTCATTCATGGCAATAATTATTTGAATGTTAGATTCAAATCTGATTCTTTGCAAAACATTTTGTGGTTCATTCCAGTTTCTTCTAAGATTATATTCTAAATAAAAAAATCCAAAGTGTACAAATATGCATAATTTTCGTACAAATATGATAAAATTTATTTTACTCAACTATCTGCTTTACTTCAAACTGGAGTGACAAAATATATAATCCCGTCCCCCAAAAGAAACATACATAAATCAGAATTATCCTATCAAATATTTAGGCTTTCTAAGAATAATTTTGATTCATTAGAAAATAAGCTTATGTTTTTAATTAAAATAATTTTTATGTTCTTTTTTTTGGGGGGGGGAAGATATTTTGAAATCAATCCATTCTTAAATACCTGTGTTTTAGAATTAGTAGAAGAAAAATACTTATTAGAAGAAAATACTTTATATTATACTTAATATATTTATAACTTTTCATTAGGCCACATTAAAAATTTCTGTTAAAATATCTTATGGGTATCTGGATCAGATATGACTGCAATACTTAAACACAATTCGCTTAATTTTTTTTAAAACTTAAGTTTATACTTGAATTAAATCCCTTACTCCCCTAAAAAGGGAGCAAATAAAGCAGACTTACTTTAGACATCTCTGTTTCTATGTTGTGAATAATGCTCCAAAAAATATTAAATTTTTAATAATTTTGGTAAACTGAGAGAAAACCAATTGAGAATGAAATTTTCATAAACATTTAATGTACACTTGTGGGAAAGTATTCATCAATGAATAATTTGCTGAAGCATGGGTTCTGAAAAAAAATTTACAGAATACAAGTTATGACGTGTTAGTAAAAATTTTAAATGCAAAAAGTTAAGCATGAATTAAAATTTTTTTCATATGTCTAGAGGGCAACCATGTTTAATGTGCTTAAATGAGAGCACGTTGGTCATGAAGTAAAATGAATTGGATGATGATGCCCTGAAATTTGTAACTGCGAGGCACAATGGGATGCTACAGATTCCGTACCCATCACTGCATCCTTTTTTTTTTTTTTTTTTTTTTTTTTTTTTTTTTCCATCCTTACTAATATTTTTTGCTTCATAAATCAAATGTTTTTCAATCTACGGTATTCACAACCTTTTTCAAGAAGTTTTACAGTTAATATAAGAGAAATTATTTTGAATAAGGTCTAATAACTTTAATAAATGATGCAATTAAAAATTCTATAACAATTGTAACTGCACAAATCAGTATAGCAATGACAGCATATTAAATGTCTCATAAGAAATTGAAATAATAAAACCTTCACAGAAAATTTCCAGAAAATAAACAATTGCAGTAATAACAATGGAAAATAAATCATGGAATAAGTTTGATGTAGCTGCTTTTTAAACATTTTAGATTTGTGATTTACGGTACTGCTGTTAATATTTCAACTTTCAAATGAAACAGTTTCATGAAAAGTCTGCAATTAGAAAACTTTATTTATACAAAATACTATGACAAAATAGTATAACATTGAACAATAATGAAATCCTAGGAGAATGCTACAAACTCCAGAATCTAGAAACATTTGATGTTGGAATGGCGAAAAATACAAGAGAACCATTCTTTTTATCAAAGTCTCTACAGGCACAAAATGATAAACAACAACGAAAAAATGGCAGAAATCTTTCTTTTTGCAGATATTTCTCATCTTATGAAAAGTTTTAGGTAAACATTGTTTCAACCTGCAAATTCTTCCATTTGCATCAAGTGTTCTACACAGATGACATTCATAATAACTGGCCAGTCATACAATCGTATAATGAAAACTATCAATATATATATAGATATACTGTACTAAATTACAAATCAGAAGTGGTTTGACTGATACAATTAGAGACAAATGAACCTGTGAGAAAAAGCAGATATTTCACACTGTCTAGGTTAACATTATACAGCCACACAAATAAATCATACAGGGGGAAAAAATACTCCGACCTACAGCTAGGTCATGATTCATAGTTTGAAAAACACCAGTTTATCAAACTCTCTAAAGCTACAAACTGTTTTGGTTTTCCATGCAGCTGGATATTGGACAAAATTGTACATTCCCTGTTGTGTGACACTTTCCAGAACGTGAAGATAGAGGTACGGTGGATGGTTTTTCCATTTATTTAATTAGTTAAATTTATTGAAGTCTTTCACTAGTAGTGGAAGGAGAGCCAGGATTGACAACATCTCCATTAGGAGTTGACAGAGCACAGTTCTTGCACAGTGGGTCAAAGGCAGATCTTTGACTTGGTAGTAGGACAAAATTCATACTGGGTTTGGGGCAACCAAACTCTTGAAGTTCACCAACACCAGGTAAATTCCTAATGAATAAGAACTAATTAAGAGAGAACATGATTTTTATAACATACATTTAAAAAGTCAGATGAACATGATTTTTATAACATACATTTAAAAAGTCAGATAAATGTATGATATTCTTTGCACACACACCGGGGGGGGGGGGGGATCTATGAAGCATTGAATGTTCTTTTTTAGTTAGCAGCTCACCAAAATACATAGAATCGGAAATGTTCCAGATAAAAAATTTATTAATTTATGAAAAATATAATAATATAGAACCCTTTCCCAAATAACTACACTTTTTTACTTTACATACAAAGAAACCAGAGGTATTTCTTATTACTATATTTAAATCGTTTCTTGCTACATGCAAATTTCTACAATTGAAAATCTAACATAAAAGTTTTAAAATTACTGACAGTTAATCATCCCTTCTAGGTAGAAATTGTTACGTGCATAGTAAAATATCACAAATAAGTATTGGTTTCCTTACATGAAATTATGATTAATTTTATTCTTTAACACTGCTCACATAAAAACACATCTTACTTATTCTTGCAGTTATGCTAATAAACATAGTACAGTAATAAGTCGTTAATTCGGACACCCATAATTTGGAATGATCTATAATCCGGACCTGAAAGCTAAAAACTTTCTGCGCATGCGCTGCGTTGGCACATGCGCAGAGGCATTTTACGCATACGCATAAGACCTTGATGACTGCGCATATGCGTGCGCGCAAGTGCAGAATACGTTTTCGCCTTCGCGTTTAATGTATAACGGATGGTGTAAACTAAAATGATCTAATTATCTATTTCAGTTAATGTTAATGATTGCGTTGTTCCTTAATCTTCGAATTGGATCCCGCTTATTACTTTTTGCAGACTGTTAGAGCAATTTTATAAAAGTAAACTTGAACTTTCGATTAAGTTAAATAGAATTTCCGATGCTGGAATTTCCAAAGGATCTACAAAACGAAAGTATGTTTCCATGTCCATCAAACAAAAAGTGGAATTACTGCAAAAATTGCATAAAGGCATACCTGTCTCAAAGTTATGCAAGGAATATAACATTGGAAAGTCAACTGTATATGACATAAGCAAAAAGAAAAAGGAACTTTTTGATTTTTTTGTGGATTCCGACACCCCACTTGCAATGAGTAACAGAAAAAAAGGGGTTCGTTATGCTAAAAGTGACAATTATGACAGAGTGATGATTGAATGGGTCAGACAGCGTCGCAGCGAGGGCGTGCCATTGACGGGTCCAACGGTAATGGCTCAAGCCAAAATATTTCATGAAGAAATGAACTTATAAACGGAGAGTGCACATATTCGACAGGTTGGTTAACAAAATTGAGTGCAAAATGTTTAACCAAATCTAAAAATGGCCATAGTATAAGACAATTAAAAATTTCTGGAGAAAAATCTTCAGCTGATACTGAAGCTGCTGAACAATCTGCAGATGAATTCATCGAATTCATTACTAGTGAACAATTATCTGCAGAACAAATTTACAATGCTGATGAAACTGGTCTTTTCTGGCAATATGTACTGCAACCTCTACAGAAAAGGCTCCAATTGGTGTCAAAGATTCCAAAGCGAGACTAACAATTTTAGCATGCGCAAATGCTGCAGGAATGCACAAGTGCAAACTTTTCGTAATCGGAAAACATGCACGACCTCGACCGTTTAAAGGAGTAACGATTTTCCCTGTTATATATCACACAAATAAAAGAGCATGGATGACACAAGTATTGATGAATGATTGGTTTGAAAATCATTTTATACCCGAGGCTCGGCGACATTTGAATTCGGTTGGTTTACCTGATGACTCAAAAATAGTTCTGATTGTTGAGAACTGTTTGGCACATACTTTACTTAAAGTTTTAGTGAAAGATAATGTATTTGTGTTATTCTTCCATCCAAATTGTACGTCTATCATTCAGCCTATGGATATGGGAATAGTGCACGTGCTGAAATGCAAATATAAAGCAGCATTTTTAAAATCTATGTTAAATTTCTTGAACAGTGGCAAGACTATTCAAGAATTTTTGAAATTTTTTAGCATAAAATCTGCCGTGTGGAGCATTGCAAGATCGTGGGAAGACGTGTCTCCAAGTACGTTAAAAAATGCTTGGCATAATTTATGGCCATCTACCATATTTCATGGTGAGGAGGATGAAGATGATAGCGGCGAATTTGAAGGTTTTCGGACATCGTTTCAAACCTAAAGGTGAAATTTTTCATTTAATTGGATTTTGTAAAGACATGTGGAGAAGCGGTAAATAAATGAAGGATGCTATAAGAGAAGTTTTCATTGCGACGACAATGCCCCAATCATCAATCAATTAACAGACACAGCGAAATATGTAAGTATGGTTCTAAGATCCAGAAAAATCGCTTACCGACTACCGATAGCGAATAAAGTGACACAGAGACGTTATTCGAAAACAAACACAATTTTGATTGACAAGTTAGTCAGATATTCTCAACACCGCAATTATAGGACTTGAACATAACAGCGGAACTTTGTAACTGAACAAGAAATTATGTCTGTTTATAGAATTAAAGAGAAAGTATTATCACAAATAAAACGAAACAACTTAAACCAACTTACATTGAATAGAAATGTTTAATAAAGTAAACAAATAAATATTAAGCTTTTTTTTTTTTTTTTTTTTTTTTTTTTTTTTGATAAATTTTGTTACACCATTTAGATCATAAATGCTTCTTTATTTCATAAATTACGGATTTCATATTTTTAATTTTAGAATTTCTGCATGCCATCTTACGAGATTTAAACTGATGATCTATAATCCGGAAAAATCAATAATCCGGAATCGCAAAGTCCCGACGAGTGCGGATTAACAACTTTTGACTGTACATTTTTTCTAATATACACCGTATCTCAAACATTTTTACAAACATATTTTACCATACACATAAAAAATATATAGATTAAACCTCAATTTTAAATAAATAATAAAAACATTTAGAATTTTAACCAGAAGAAAACATTTTACTCATTCATTTTTACTATATCAGAAGTTGTCAAAAAAAATACTGGTTCCAGTAATCAACAGCTCTTTTAACCCTACATCAGGCAGGGAACATCCTACATAAACAGCCAGTCTAAATCTGTGTTGCAAGCTCCTTTAAATTCAATAATGAAAGGTAAATTTATGGTATAGAAAATAATTTTCATCTACTTACTTCATTTCAGTCATATACTGCATACTTTCACCTGTTATTATGCTTATTTTAATATAATGTCAAATACTTCTTAATCTCAGAATCTTAGAATATTTTTAATGCATTTGCTATTATATTAACATCAAACTATTATTTGTCAAATAAAATGCAACAGTTATTCTCAAAGCCTAATCAAATAAAAACATTCTTTCATCTCTTCATACTACATCTTTAAAAAATGAAGGTCAAGAAACTGATTTAAAGACCCTGAAATACTAGTTCAGATGCTCTCAAAAGCTCTCAGATTTTGACAGAAAGCTTAGGGAATGATTCAAACCTCCTCTAAATAAGAAACTGTACTAATAATCTATAAAAACTAAAAATAAATTATATCATTATAACTTCCTAGGACCAATAAATTTTTATTATTAAAATGCTACATAAAATTGGTTTTTAGCAAAATACAGAGTAAAAATTAATCTGTGTAATTTAAAAATTCAATAAAAATAATTAATTCATATGATCAAAGAGTTTTTCAGGGAAATGACTGATTTTGGACCCCCCCCTTTTTCCCCTTTGTTAAATGACGAAAATTCAAAAATGTTTTATTAATTTGGTGGTGGTTTTAAAAAATGTTTAGTTGAATTTTTTTAATGAAATCTTTTTCAAAAAGACTCTCAAATCCATTTCTTAAGTTCTTGGATTCTTATACAGTAAATAATAACTGTAAAAGTAAAATTAAAAACCAAAAAAATTCAAATCCACATGCTAATATAATTTTTAGGTAATTGAACTAAAACAATAAAAAAGAATACAATAATTCTATATTTGGTAATAATTTCAATCAAAATTAATAAAAAATTAATGTCAAATAGAAAAGAAATTTACTTACTGTCTTCAAATTTTTTGCCGTTTTGCTAAATATAGTACAATGGCCTAATAGCGGGAAGTGTTGCCTTTTTGTGTCAGTTCTAAAGAACACAGCTGTTTGGTTTGGTTTATTTGATTATGGTAATGCTTCGAGGGCTATCAGTCTAATGGGAGGGATGCCTTTGTGGGAAACTGGCTCGTACATGTTATATATGGGAAAAATCATGAAAACGCTCATCCAGCCAGCCTCTTCATGGGGTTTGAACCTTGGACCGAACCATCATCAGCAACTTTACCATTTGGCAGCTGGTGGGCATACAGCTGGCTGGCATGAAAATTGTGTCAAGAAATGCAATTTGGTGTGTAAAGCAAACTGCTGAGAATTATTTCATGAGATCTTCAAATTTTAACTTTAAACAAGTATTTAAAAATGATAATCTTTAGAAGCAGTTAGTACAGTAAAAAGAACAGAATATAGAATTAGAAAAGAATGCAGTTTTCACATATTTCAACAGCAATATGTCTTGAAAAATAATCACCTGTTGATAACAAATTCTTTGCTTCAGAGAAAAATATTTACATTTTTTTAAGTTAGTAACTCATCTGCAAATAACTTCCTTACAATTTAAGTTAAAGCTTTGTACATAACAAAAGTCGTTGTGTATAATTAAGGCAAAGTTTTTAAAACTATTTTGAATAAAATGAAATTGAATTTGATTATTAAATATTTGGTTCATGATGGTATTAGTGACTACCTTATGAGAAATGTTGGAGTTCCTGTGGAAAAACCCCACAAATGATTTCTGTATCACCATTAGAGGGCAGTTCTCTTCTGAGAAAAGAATGTTAGTTAGTTCAGTTTGTGACGTAGTAAATAATGAACCATGGATGCAATCCAGGTTGCTTTGTAAATAAAATGATTATTTTTGTACATTTCTGAAGTATTGGCTTCAATTAGA